AAGAAGTTCGCGTAAATTTCGCCATTTAGACGCGGCGGGAGGAAATACGGACCGATCTGAAAATTTAAAACGAAAATCTTTAGTCCCATTAGTTTAAAAAAATTGTTTTATTTGTACACTTACCACTTGATTCCCGATTATTCCAGCCCAAACATTAATGGACCAGCGATATTGAAACGCGCACTCACGAACGACGCGAGGATTTTCTTCACTCCAGTATAAATAATTTCTAGAGTTGAATATACCGTTTGGGGTGAACGTTGATTCATCGGTCCATAAAATAATGTCCGGGAAAAGTAAATTACCTCGACATTGCGCGAGGAGTCCTGCATGAAATTCACCGACAATTAAATTACTGTACATTTATCAAAGTGCGTAAATATTAAATAATAGCAGACCTTCACAAAAATTGATCCGTTGTTGAAAGTCTCTCGGCAAAAGTTGTTGCACACGCTGGTAATGGAACGGATGCAATCTATTCTTTCGCAAAGTCTGATGCACCGCGAACCTGGAAAGTCCCAGTTCGTGAGCCGCACGACGCACGCTGGTTCCGGGGTTTTCATAAAACATGTCCAGTACTCTCTCTTCGTCTGGAACACCACGGTGCACTGGTACATCTTTCGTGTTATGCACGAGACACCCTGTTTCACGCAATCGTTGCACAACGCGAAAAATCGTATCCTTAGTCGGATGTGCACGCTCGGGAAATCGTTCCGCATAGATTCGAGCCGCGGCAAGCTTACTTTCGCCCGCTAGCCCGTAGGCCACTATCATGTCGGTATACTCTTCTGTAGTAAATCGCATTGTCGCTGTCCAGCACAATACGAGTCGAGATTCGTACGCGACTAAGCTCTTGACGATCGTGTTCACGAGCTCAGGAAGAAACAATTGACATTCGGAAACAAGAAAATATCGCGGGGAAGCTTTCAGCTGTTTTTCTGAAAGTTTCCCCGCGCTATTCGAATCTATGCGGAACGATTTCCCGAGCGTGCACATCCGACTAAGGATACGATTTTTCGCGTTGTGCAACGATTGCGTGAAACAGGGTGTCTCGTGCATAAGACGAAAGATGTACCAGTGCGTCGTGGTGTTCCAGACGAAGGGAGAGTACTGGACATGTTTTATGAAAACCCCGGAACCAGCGTGCGTCGTGCGGCTCACGAACTGGGACTTTCCAGGTTCGCGGTGCATCAGACTTTGCGAAAGAATAGATTGCATCCGTTCCATTACCAGCGTGTGCAACAACTTTTGCCGAGAGACTTTCAACAACGGATCAATTTTTGTGAAGGTCTGCTATTATTTAATATTTACGGCACTTTGATAAATGTACAGTAATTTAATTGTCGGTGAATTACATGCAGGATTCCTCGCGCAATGTCGAGGTAATTTACTTTTCCCGGACATTATTTTATGGACCGATGAATCAACGTTCACCCCAAACGGTATATTCAACTCTAGAAACTATTTATACTGGAGTGAAGAAAATCCTCGCGTCGTTCGTGAGTGCGCGTTCCAATATCGCTGGTCCATTAATGTTTGGGCTGGAATAATCGGGAATCAAGTGGTAAGTGTACAAATAAAACAATTTTTTTAAACTAATGGGACTAAAGATTTTCGTTTTAAATTTTCAGATCGGTCCGTATTTCCTCCCGCCGCGTCTAAATGGCGAAATTTACGCGAACTTTTT